ATCTCATTCTTCATATTCATAATAAATGTAAAATCACCTTGGACGGTGACTAGTAATGTCTTTATAGAAATTTTGCTCCTCGTTGCGCTTTGTACTTACATGACCAAAATTCGTCTTGAATTTAATTCAATTACCATTATTCTGGTGAATCCTCTCCAAGTATATGCATAAAGGTTATATTACTGATTGTGAATTGATGTCAAATCCCCATTTCCGATGTGTTATACCTCCCATAGTAGTCTCTTTTCGTATGCAAATTCCAATATACCTAAATTTTTAGGGTGTGTTTGACAAACCACTATTTGTTGGTTGTTGATCTTTTTGACTCTCCATGTTGGTTGCCCTAATGCTGCGGTCCTAAATTCCAAATTCCTTAAAATAGGAACATTCGTTTGGCACTCAAAACGATACAATTTTCCTATAATATGCTTTCTACATTTGGCTATCACATTCGTCATATTCTTGATGAATGATAAATCACCTTGGACGGTGACTAGTAATGTCATTATGGAAATTTTGCCACACGTTGCACTTTGTACTTACATGACCAAAATTCGTCTCGATTTTAATTCAATTACCATTATTCTGGTGAACTGTCTCCAAGTATATGCATAAAGTTTATATTTCTGATTATGAATTGATGTCAAATCACCATTTCCGATGTGTTGTACCTCCCAGAGTAGTCTCTTTTCGTATGCAAATTCCAATATACCTAAATTTTTAGGGTGTGTTTGACAAACCACTATTTGTTGGTTGTTAAACTTTTTGATTCTCCATATTGGCAGCACCAGTGCTGCGGTACTAAATTCAAATTGCCTAATATAGAAACATTCTCTTGGCTTTCAAAATGAATCCATTTTCTATAATATGCTGTCTTCATTTGGCTATCTTATTTGTCATATTCAAGATGAATGATAATTCACCTTGGACGGTGACTATTAATGTCATTACAGAAATTTTGCCTCACATTGCACTTTATACTCACATGACCAAAATTCGTCTTGATTTTTATTTGATATCTAATTTTCTAAAATATTTCATCAAAATGTATTTTCATAGTTTTAATTTTGATACTGATTATCAAATGTTGTTGCGATCTCCTATCCAAATTGCTATATTCATGAGAATAGTCTTTTTGTGTACAAATTTAAATATAACAAAATTTTCAGAGCGTGTTTGACCAGCCCCTTTTTGTTGGCAATCAAACTTTTCGATTATCCTGACTGCTTTTACTGCCAGATTCCTGCTTGCCGAATTCCCTAAAATAGTTGTATTCATTTGGCACTAAAGAATGGGCATAGGGCGTTTCAGAGTTTTCTGGAGCGCGATAGGACCCCATCTACAAGTCCTAACGAGTGGGTCAACCGACACCTCCTGGGTCCACTTGGAAGCTCGGTAGAATATTCAGACAAATTTTTTTCATACAAATTAGTTTGGATTGTTGAAATATGCAATGTTATCTACTCTGTAATTATTTTATAATATTTTTTTTGTGTGAAAAGCAATAAATATTTTTTTATATAAAAATGATTTTGTTTTCTATTTTCGGATTTGACAGTATCTATATCGAGATGACAGATCAATTCGGGTTATCGTTAAATTACGTCTTTCTTCCCAAGTTGAACTGTCCGTATTAGTCAGCTATATTGAAGAGTGCTGGGTTAAGCATTAAGAAAAATAGGACGCGCTCGGTGTATTAAAGAAAGGGGGTAACCACAGAAATTTCTGTAGACGACCCAATTAACATTGATTTGCTCAGTATTGGCGTAGAGAGATGCATCGTACGCGCAATTTACAGCGTGTAATATTCAGTGCCCTCGGGAGTATTTTTAAACGAGCATTGCCACACCAATTTCAACACTTTTTGGAGGTGATTTAGAAACTGTGAACCAGAGATAACACGGTTAGTTTGCACAAGAGATAGAATGAATCTAATGGATGAATCGAATGAGTTTTTATCATATAACTTTGGAATTGTTACAAATGTTAGATTTTTGATTTGGAGGAAATTTTGAAATGTTCGAATTTACAAGTTGTCTATTCTGAGACCCGGATTTGGCATCAACCATGTAGCATAGGTTGATCAGATTCATGCAAAAAAAATGTGGAAATCATTGAAATTTCATGTTTTTCGCATATTTTGATTTTAACTAAATAGAAATTTTCGGTAACGGATTACACCTAAATGCAAACATTTTCACTTATCAAATCAAATTGTGGGATGTAAATTGTAAAAACTAAAATAATTTTAATGAATAAAAACTCGTCCCTCCAAATCGAATAGACAATCTGCTGTGGTTTAAGAATTGCATAATTCCACGTTCTTTTGCCTATGTCCATTTTGACCAAGTTGGGATTTTCCAGTGACGGATTGCATAATAATGCAAATTTGTGTTACGAACAACCCTAATTGTATGATGTACCACATTATTCCCTCTTGATTGGAAAGACATGTTGTTGTAGTTTGAAAATTGTTAAATTTCATGTTTGCCATCTATGTAAAATTGATAACCCCGTAGTTTGTGTACAAGGTTAGGGTTAGGACATAATTTTATTCCGATTTTCCTTATTTCAGTTCAATTACGAGTTCGGGACTGTCTGTGTTAGCTAAGCGACTACACCCTCTGCTCATAGGCTTTTGTGCCTTTACGCAACTTGGTGTAAAGTAGGCAAACAAAATTAGTTATTACTTATCGATCTCGATCGGTAAGTATGTTGATAGGTGTTTGTCTGTCTGTTAGACACTTTCGTATGTTACGCAATATCTCACAAAAGATAGGTTGAATCTGATCCAAATTTTGCATGTGCATTTATCTCATCTCGGACCAGATTCCTATTGATTTTGGATTAATTATGTTGTATAAATATTGAGTTATTAATTAATTTATTAATATTTTTTTTTATAGTTAGCGAGTTAATAATTAATTAATTTTTTTTTCGTTTATTTTTTACGGTCGATCGATAAGTCTTCGGTCTCCGACCGATATTCTCGTCTGCATATTGGTACACACACTGGAGCGCCGTTGAATTTGACAAAATATGACTTATTCAATAATGGATAACACATAGATGCAAGATTTGGTTCCCTACAGTTCAAATTGTGTGATGAAGAGTGCGTATATTTAAATATATATTAATAAATAAAATCTCGCCCCATGTTTATTTTTCATTCCACATGATGTTTTTGTGCAAATCAGGTATGGTTTATTTACAACTACTTTTTATTCATACAAAGAACAGTTGTGATATTTAGCTTAGATTTTAATTTTCTTGTTTTCGCGACGGTGAATTTCATGCTTGTTTACCATCATATCTGGCAACTCTGTATAGAAATATTACTGTTCAGTTGATTTTTTTGATTCATTTTCCACATAGCCACAATTGCCGGCTATTATGTGCCATTAATTGCCGGACTTTGAGAGGTTCTGGTGCTGAGTTAAACATGGATATATGTAATTTAGTAATCTGTGAACGTGCAGGTTGCCTTAACTTACATTGTCAGAACGCCAACCCACACTCGTGTGACGCTAGCCCACACTCGTTTTTGTCAGGCCATACTAGGTGCAACTGGAACGTGCTTGATATTGCATTTGCTTTGTGTATATCAGATATGGTCTCTATATTGTCAGAGCTACCAAGTTTTTATGTAATAACGTTTATAAAGTCAGTAAAATAGTTGGTTAACCCGTTGACGTCAGGCTGAGCGAGTGTGGGCTGGGGTAACTTTGGTGTTGTAGGCCTATGGCCAAGCCTTTCGTCAACTACCGTAATTCAGCGGTTTCCAAACAGTTTGTTCGTGCGGCGCCAAATAATCGGGAAAAAAATCACGTCGCACTTCCTCATCTCTGCCTGATTTTCCGTTGACTTTGAAATTCTAAAAAAGTCACTCATGTTCATTTCTATCGTTTCAGCAGATATATAGACCGCAGCTTGCAAAATTGCAGCATGTAGTGTTCAACTCTAATGTTACGTAACAATAGAGGCAGATATCACGTAACAAAAAGTAAACGACATAGAAATGCAAAATGAATTTATTGATTCATACCGGTATACACATTATTTAAAATAAATAACAATAAAACATTTATAATAAATACAATACGTGAAGTATTCAATCATTTCCCAGTTATGTTTACCAAATATGATTCTCTGGCGCAACGCGTGGCGAAAGAAATGCTTTTTATTTAGTTATGGACCTTTCCCCGGGCATCGACTTCCTTGTTCACTCCATGACATTGGCCAATCAGCAAGGTGCAAAAAGTGACGTAATAATGCTCCCTTTTCGCATCCGCTCAGACACTTTTCTCACTCAGACAGATTTTCAGGTGCGGTCGTAATCATTACCTCGTTTTTGCGTTTTTGAACTCAATTCGTTAGTTTTCAGTTGTGTTTTGGAAATTCAAATAAAAATCAAATAATTCAATGATCCCTCTGTCTTCTTAGAAGTTTTAATTTAATTGCAGTAATATAAAATTAATGTTGAAATGGCTGCGATAGACTGGGCTAACATTCGTTACCGGTACTTTAAAAAAAACAGATTGTTGTGTGATAGTTTGAAACACATACCCCATTAAACATGCGCCAACTCTCGAAACCACTTTTAAAATAAGCCCCGGAAATTCTGCAATGGTAAAGTATGAAAAGATTTTTCGGGGGTCGAAGGTCGGGGAAAGGTCCATTAGCGCGAAGCTGTATTAACCTATATGTAATTGTAGTTATTTCTTAATATGTATTGTAATATGTAATTGTGGTTAATTTATAACTGTATATATTTACTTTAAATCTACACAAAACAAAATCTAATACAAAGAAAGCAGACCATTTTTAGAAAATCGCAAACCGCTTGAAATATGCAACATTAATATTTGTTTACCCATGACATCGTGATTTTCGCGTTTGTTTGGCCGCCTGGGCTATCTGCGTTCTATCTGTCTAAGTTTCAGGATTTTGTCCTTTAACATCCTTAGTTTTACCGTGTTTAATATCATTTTGTTAGATTTTTGGTTAAAATAGTTAATATCTGAATATTGAAAAATTATACCTTAGCAGAAAAAATGGAATATACTTAACGACGTTTCCTGAATTTGGGATAATCCAGTAATCAGCATTTGCTCTGTTGTTTCCTGGTTTCTTTTGTCAGATCGGTACAATCTGATGTATTTCCGTGTCATCTGATTTCTTTTTTCAATACACAACATCATGGGCAACGGATGCATGCGTTCAAAAGCAGGTTTGTTTTTAGTAGGTTAAGTTATTCATATTTTTCTTGGTGTCTTGTAGAAAGAAATGAATCTTTCTGTCCTTGAAACAGTGAAATGAGTATAAGTTTATTTCGACTCCATAATCAGCATAATAGATGATAAAATAATTGATAAAAACAAAATAAATGAAACCTATTATAGAATCGGGAGGACAAACACAACCTCAAGTAGGGTTTAAAACGTACAGATTTTAGATGGAAAGGTATTGTTAAAAGAAGTAGTGTAGGTATGTGTTCGCTCAACCAAAAGTATTAAAACTAATTAAAGCACGCACACACAATCACGGAGACTTGATAAGATCAGAACAGAAAAAAAGCGAGACATAAAACCAATTACTTAGTAAAAAAGTATATAATACAAACAAATAAATAAATAAAAATTTTGCCACACCATAATAATAGTTTAATGAAGAGCATTCTGAACATTAGCAAATAACGGGATGGGATTTACATATTTATCCTGATTGAAGAAAAAGCTGACAAGACGGTTCAATCATATGGTAGCATTGCGAACCACAACCTCTTGTTCGATTACAAGCTCATGGGAGTATCAGGGTATAGGGATCTGGGGATAGTCAGCCAGTTATTTTTGTTTTCAGATGAATGAACTTGATGGGCAGATGAGGACTGGGGGAGGGAGCTGTAATCTACTAGCGTTTATGTTTGTATGAACCACCCCACAATGCATGGAGCCATCATTCCTCTTTCACATAATTATTCACCACAGGATTCAAACCGCTGTACCAACCTCTATCCATTCATATCTTTCTTGCAAAGATGAATTCATTTGCAGTTTAATCACTTTAGTGGTCACACCTACAATTATTATAGTCATGAGGCTTTTCGGTGCTCCCGAAGTATGCGAACCAAGATGGCGGCCATCGGAACGTAACATGGGTAACAGGTTAGGGTTAGGCGATAATTTTTTTCCAATTTTCCTTATTTTAGTCCTATTATCAGTTCGAAGACTAGCCAAGAGCCTCCAGTAGTATTTATACCTAAAATTATGGCCTAACCCTAACCTAGTACACATATTACATTCCGATGTCCGCCATCTTGGTTCGCATACTTCGGGAGCCCCGGCTTTTCTTTGAGCAAACGTGTATAAAAATTTGAAATTGATATAGATCCTATTTTGAGCAATTTCCAAATTTTGTAATTTAACATGAGAATTGGCTTGGTTGTGGGGCGTATCTTGCTAACTGTTAGGAAATTGCTTGACACCGCGCCTCTGGTCACCCTGCGTTCGCAGGTTCGAGTTCTGTGGGAAATGAATATGAGTGATAGGATTGCTGGACTCCTTGCTGCCATAGGGTGGATCCTGTAACAGCTGGTCAGTTACCTTTTTCTCCGCCATGAAGTCCATGTATTCAAAACAAATAACTGGCTAAGTAATCCCATAACCGACATGGGCCGGTAACCTGGCAAGAGGCCATGGTTCACCATATGATGATTAAGCCATGTTATCGATATTTCTCTTTCCAGGGATAAATATGTAAATCCTATCCTATCGCCATTGTTTTATTTCTTATATTTTTTTTCCTAGTTGAAGTGACTTCTCCAACTCTCCCAGCATTCAAAGTTGTTGTCGTTGGCGACAGTGGAAGTGGGAAAACCAGCATTGTTAAAAGATTTGTTCACAATAAGTTTGAAGAAGAATATTTAAGAACAACTGATGTTGATATTACAAGGTAGACGAAAATTTGGGTCACGCGGAGTAAACACCGTAACAGCTTAAATATCTCAAAATTAAATTTGATTTAAAAATACAACCCAAATTTTCATTTAAAAAAAAAATGAAAAGACTGTCTTAGGCGGACATAATACCTTACACGTAATGTGACATACGAAAGGCAGATAACTCGACTACCGATAGGACTGCTGAGTTGTCTGTCTTTTCTCATATTCTATGGCGAAGTTACAGGGGTAATTAATCTTTTTACATTAAAATTTGACATCACAATTTTGTTAGGCTTTATTTAAGCAGTTACGGCATTTACTTCACTAGACCTGAAAATTCTAGTATATTTCATCATCAAGAAACAAATATTAACTGGCCTATTAATCTCATAATTGACCTGGACTGGTAGCCGTAAAAGAGGCTGTGGTACAGCAAATGAGGCGACTTATCGGCTTTCCTCTTCTCAGGATAAATATGAAAATCTAAGGCATCTCCTCTGCTGCCTCTTTTTTTAGAAATTTCTCAAGCATTTTCCTAACAAGCATTCGCAAATGCGCAACGAGTTACTATTTTTGGAAGTTTCGTTTCTGAATACCTACCCAATTCTTACACTCTCAGTGAAGTGAGAACACTCAAAACAAGAACGTGCACAAGCATGCACTATTCACGAAAGGGTCAGCAACAATTTATCAGTGTTTTCATTACATGTAAACACTTTAATCAACTCACTCATGCATGTAGCCTTTTTTTCTGTCACGCTCTTCAAGTGCGTTGTACTACGTGTAATCACTCTTTGTTAAGTTGTCTCAGGAGTCTGTTGTTGTTTACGTTTAATATTATTTGCCGCAAAGGACTTGTTGTTGTGTGTTGTATTCGGGGCGAAGGATCTAATATTATTTGTCCCTACTGGCGCAGAATCCACCTAATTAGACTTTGCATACCCAATGGATGAGGTACCTGTACCCATACTCTTCAACATGGGACATAGTCATTCCTCTAACCATCCGCCCAATGAGTGAGTCTTGCTTTTTTTAACCTCTTCTCCTATTTTCAGTGTTGTAAAGAAACTCAATGTACCAGAACATGCAATAGTAACAGTCGAACTATGGGATGTACCTGGTGAAAATGATGTTGATTTGAGAAAGACTTATTATCTTGATGTTGATGCTGTTATCGGTGAGTTGGAAAAATATTTGAAAAAGAAGCATCAGAGCTTGTAATTTTCAAAGTTTGTTTTATTTATATTTGATTGACCTAGTCCCATGATGCTTGACTAACTGGTTTGAAAAATTGTAATCATATGGTGAACACAGCGTTTTATCAGGTTACCAGTCCATGTTGGGCGGGGAATTAGGTAACCAGTTATCATTATAAGATGATTTGATGTGGCCGCTCATATCATATGGTTGTATGTTATCCTAGGCAGTGTTTAGGCATGGATTTTGCCCTTGGCTAGATAAAGTTTTTTTTTAATCGTTATGAAAACAACACGCTGTCACGCTCAACTGTATAAAAACAATATTCCCATGTAATAAAATAAAATAAAACAGTGAAGATTTTGGTGAAATATTGGATGTCATAGAACCTGAAGGAAATTTAAAAAAAAATAGTAATAGCCTCCTGGCGACTAGTTCCATCTTCTAGTGCTGAAAATTTGAAGTCAGTTTGTTCATTAGTTATGGAGCAAAACAAGTTTTTTTGCAACAAAAAGTCGTCAATCATATTATGGCCACTTTATGTCTAAGCACAATAATAGTAAAACAAAGTAACTAATAGTGGTGCAATAAAGTAGGATATGATAAGATTTACATATTTATTTCGGGAAATAGAAGGACTGCCAGACGGCTTAATTATACTGTAAACCACGGTGCATGTGGGGTATTAGTATGTATGGGATTAGTTAGCCAGTTATTTGTTTTCAGATGCACGGAATTAATGGAAGAAGCCGTAACCGACCAGAGGTTACATGAACCACCCTGTGGCGGCGAGGAATCCAGCAATCGTCTCGAACATAATTATCCCCTCATGGCATGCGAACCCACGCAGGTTCATAAACTTCAAACTGACTATATTTATTGATTGATTATATTTTTAGTTGTTGTCGACATATCGAGCGAAGATTCCTTGAATGTTGCTGGAAGTTGGAGTCTGGATGTCACCAATCATGCAAGAGTATCAAGGACATTCACAGAAAGTGTTCCGAATCCTGATGGAAAAACATTTACTAATAAAACGAGGTTTGTGTCTCCTATAATTTTAAAAATGTTGAACAACAATTCTTTGTAAGATTTGTAAGGCTTAGTGAGTCTTTTTTTGCAAGGTTTTCCATAGTTTTTGCAAGATTTTTGGTGTTTTTTCACGGTTTGATAATTGGACGTGATTGGGACTGTGTGGCATGAGAACAAAAATTGCAAGTTTTTTCTGTTAATACTTAAGATTTAAATCTTGTCTGACAATTCTGAGGGGCCGTTTTTATAGCGAAGATTTTTTATGTCCTTATTCAGAATAAAATGTATGAAAAACAGTGCCATGTAAATGAGGAATATTTAGAGATGAAATAACTATAGTAGGCTTATATATAGAATTTAGGGATGGAAGCAGCTATTGAGAATGGCAAAGTATTTTAAAAGAGTTGAATTATTTAATAGGATTTAGAATTTTCATATTTATCCCGAGGGTGAGGGAAGGTAATGAGAGGGCTTAATAATATAGCTAACCATGGTCTCTTGCCTGATTACCAGTCAATATGAACTGCTCTGCTATGGCCGGAAGTCCAGCAATCTATTACCACATCCTCTGTGAGATTTGAAGCTGCAAACTCACAGAGTTTGGACTGAAAGACATAGAAAAGGCGCCATTATACAAACCAATATTTGGAACAACTGCCGTGGGTGTGCCACTATATTGAATTTAGGTATGGATGCGACCATCAAGTATACCAAAAAGATTTCAGAAAAATTGGACAATGTGAATTCACTAGTGTGAGCTAAACTGTGCAGCCTGTTGAAAACATTTAGTTGAATTGAACAATTATTTTATTGCGAGAGTTGCCACCACTTCCTAAATCTCTTAAAAGCCCTATATTGCAACTAGAATTGGCGGTAATAAAGCCATTAGAATTTGACCCATTACTTTGGAGTATATTTGTTAAGCCATCAAATCTATCAGAAATGATAAACATTGGGATTTGTGTTGTGCCATTATTTGTAGGTTTCCGTAATGATCGTGGTTTTTATTACGTACAAGAAGTTATTATTTGATTTCTTCACACAAATGACGTTTGTGGGTTCAAGGATGGCTGATTGTGAAAGTTTACGACCTTTTTAAAACCAAAGTTATATTTATATTACAATTGTCTTTTTGTAGTGATTATCTCTGAGCGTGTACAGTATAGTCTCCAGCTTTTCGTTTTAGAGGTGGTGTTTATTAGGGATGCGACGAATCCAAAAAGGTTCGGCTCGGCCGAATCCCGAGTATTTGTGCTGGACTCGTGTCCGAGTCCCGAGTCCAATACTTTTACATAGTTACGAAACAAATACCTAAAGTGATGCTGTTGTTCTCGTATATTGGCCGTAAATTAAACATTCTGTATGAAAAGACTATGTAATTTAAAAACGTTGCACATAAACACTATTGCTTTCGAGACAATCATTCTCTGAGCGACTATTTTAAATTAGAATAAATAGGTCATATTCCACGTCGAATGAATACTTTGTTAGGTAACTCTGATCGGCCGCCGCGTCGACTGCTGAAGACGCCGCGCTCGTGTCCTGTCACGATAAATACGGGCCATAACCCACACGTTTGGAACAAATTTTTTATGGGAAATTTTTACTCATATGTTATCTTTTTTAGTCAGCGCTGATACAGACGCCCATCTCCGTGATAATTGAAATATTAATAAAGAATTGCCAACTGTGGAAGCATCGAATAAATGTATCTTATAAATACATCGTAACAAAATAGCTGGCTATTCTTCGTTTGAAAACCATCAATAGCGATTGTCGAATCCGCGGGAAATAAGAATGTGTAATTGTTGATTTTGATTCAATGAGAGAGACGCAAAAGGCGAAATGTGTTATATGCTAAGTTACGGCTGTATGACACAATCATTTTCATTACTACAAATAACGGCGCTTTGAAAAGCAAAATCAAATTTATTAACATTAATTTAGAAGTGAGAGTTACGAGTAAGAATTCACATACGACTCTCGCTAACAGACAAAAACGATAAATGTGAGAATTATTATGGTTTTCTTTCTGCGCCTATCGTTATCTTAACAATTCCCAATTTTGCATAAAGCGCGCCAACACCTTTTCACATATAGAAACGTCAAACCAGATTAAGTGAGGCAGGTAAATTATGTATTATATGGAAATATTGTTTCGACTAGGTAAAAATGCCATAACTCGAAACAGCACGCAATGGTAAATTTCCGGAGTTTTCATTTATTATCTAATATTAAAATAACACAACCACGATAGGTATTGTTCGCTTAAAATAGGGACCGTAATTTACAAACTGTGATATGAAAGATCAAATCCAGAAGATGAGGCCAGAATAAAATTAATATATTTAGGAATTCACTAATTAATAGCTGTCTTTAATATCTTCGCCGATTTGTACTCACACTTCTGCCAGAAATATAAAAACGAAACTTCGATGTCCGGCGTTGCGTGAGAACTGATAGTGAAAAAGGGTGCTTTAAAAATATAGTTTACCAACCATAATTAGGATGTCGGTCGCCGAAACGATCGCGGTGACAAAAAAAAATTCACGATTGTGATAAAATTACGGATAAGAAGTAAAGACGCCGCGTTGTTATCGAGTCTCCAGTCTTCTAGTAATTTTCTACTATCGGTAAATTAAAAAAAATACGGTAGTCGAATTATTCGATCAGGAAAAATTCGATTTTGCCCGTCACTAATCGCAGTGTATTTAAATAATTATTGAATAAAAATAAAAAGTCGGCCCGATTAACATCCAATTACCACGAGTAATAGTTTCCAAATTTATGCACATTTAATCGATGCGACTTGCGAGATTGTTTTTGTACATATATACTATTGTAACGCCACTGACATCTGCGAGTTGTACTTTTCTCTCAAAAGACCGTAATTTTCACTATTTTATCGTTTTATTTCTAACATTTGTTTCTCTCCGGAAATAGCTAGATCATTTATGGAACGATAAAAGGCGAACAGCGCGACATGGTTACCGCTGATTACGGATTAATCACTGTTAGAGGATTAGCAAGTATACTCGGGCCGAATCCGAGTATCAAATTACGAGAGATTCGGCCACGAATCCGAGCACGAGTCCGAATCTTGTCGCATCCCTAGTGTTTATGGATGTTTAAAAATTAGCAATGAAACTATTTGTAATTTACAAAAGTGTGTGTTGTATTTGACTGCCTATCTGCACTGGTATATACGAGACTTTACAGATATTTGAACACGATTATATTCAAGTTAGTCCACCTAGACTGGCGGACCAGGTGTATGACGTGAAATGTTACATTTTATGAACAATATTAACAGTGTTACAAAAGTGAGAAATAATAAACCCCATGCCAAAACTAAATTTAATTGCAATCTCAACAATTCCCTCAGCTATTTTAAGCTAAAATATCAAAATTTAGTTTTGATTTCGTTATGGCAGCATCAGGCGGGCCAGATTGAATTACCCAACAAACCGGATTCGGCCCGTGGGCTGTAGTTTGCCTGTGTTAGGGCTAGTGTGACATCATATATGTACATTGTCCCACAACGATGTTTTTAAGCATTTGACGAACGAAAATCTAAATGACAGTTCCTTATATATACATTATTCGGAATATTTTTTAAAACTAGGTCATCGCTCTTGCATCACACTCATATGGAATCACCACTCCGCGAGCACAAAAGCATAAGAGAAGGATAAGTCTCCCAGAAACTCAAATGATAGAACAGAATATAGACATTTCAAATGCTTTTCAAAATTCAGTTTGTTTTAGTTGACTCTGGTATTCTATGGTAAAGTATTCATGACTCTAAATTTCAAAGATGTAACACAAAAAAGTTGGAAACCCACAAAAATCGATTTAGATTCTTTCGCAATGTCTCTCTTCATTCAATGATTTGATCAATTTACCTCAAATCCTCATCAAACAAACCAATGTTGACTCATGGATTGAGGTTTTGTATGACATATTGTGATGTCACAAGTTAGATTGTTATGGGATAGGTGTGCTCTGTTTGCTAACAGTTGTTTGCCTTAGTAACAAGAGAACTTCTGTTATTTAACATTTACACTTCGTAATGACTTTACGGAAAGAAGTGGTCGGATATAAATCTTCTAAATGTCACTGGAGTTGGAAGGTTTAAACATACAAGAACAAGTGTGTTTTTGACTTTTGATAGCGTAGCAGCGGTTACCAAACTTTTAGATTGTGCGGCGCCAAATTATCAGGGAAAAATCCCAGGCACATTTACACGAAAACAAGTTGCTGCCATCAAATAAAACTCAATTTTGTGATCGTTAATGAGTATTTTATGCTTTTTAAAATTTGTAAACACGTAGGCCTAAAGAATGAAGGCAATGTGAACATAACAACATAACATAACATTTACACTTATTAATCTAATCTTATCTACGGTAGAATAATTCAGACGGAATGCTTTGACTGTTTTTCTATGGTTATCAAAACTTAATAAATTTAAAGTATTCCAAATAGCGCATCACTGTATTTTCCTGAATGAAAATATTACAAATTATTCCGGAATTTGGAAATTCACTGTTTTGAATATAAAGTATCACCTGTTTCTGAGTATTTTGGACAAAGCATTTTCAAAACATACCAGGAACTAATCCTTCACAAGGTTATTGTTCTTCAACCATTCAACCCACCGAAACCAGACTAAAACAACATCAATTGTTTAGTTGAGTTTAAGCCGTTAAAGTTTAATTTCTCAAATGACTCATACCAGACATAAGTGTTTTCAATCGTGATCTTTTGTCGTATAAATAACAAAAGAGAAAATGTACAAGTTGGATGCTTAATCAAGATTGGGTAACATTTTTTGTAAGACATGAAATTACACCTTTTGTTTTGAACTGTACAAACATTTTAGTTGTTTTAAACTGTTTGAAAATGTGCCATTCATTTTTGGGGGGGTTTTAAACTATGAGTTACAAGCAGTCTCAGGCTTATGTCAAAATTTTTTTCACAGTGTTTTTATAGCTTTTTTTGCTCCAAACGCTCTGTAAAAGCCGGTGCATTACAATTCAAAATTATGATCGCAGGGGCATAAACCAAGGAGGGAGGTTGAGGGATGCCACCAATATCGAACAACATTTAAGGGTGTACTGTTTTTGGGAACGGCCGGAAATATTTCTAGTTCCAATTAATTACACTGTGTTAGTGATAATTGTGATGTGCAACCTGCGATGCTAACACTGTTGAATCTAACGCTTTAACTGCTACCTATGGTGTCCACACCTTAGTGCAAGGGTGTACAACATTTTTGGCCATATAACCTACTGGGACCTACAAAAAGAAGAAAATGCGGCTCAGCTCAGTCTCACAGTAATAAAGACACCGGGCAAAAAGGGCGAGAGATTTAACGCAGAGATCAAAGCACACATTATGTATTTTTACTGGTGTGTGCACCTTTTTGAACATGAATGTATTTTATGCTCAATGGGGAAAAATTTGAGTGTTGAAAAGTGCCACACTAAAAGGCTTAGGGGGCCAGGTTGTGGCCCGTGGACTGCCTGTTGCACATCCCTGCCTGGTTGTCCGAGCATTTGCTGCCTGTAATATACCCCAGCAATATAGATGCAGCCACTGAAAGTGTCCATATTTTCAATTTAATTTACTGATACCCTTAGTCTTATTAATATCACCTAAACTACATTTGTAAGCATTTTCAACTTTGACAAAACTTTCACAAGAAGCATAACTTCAATAAAACAATGCTGAATGCTCTTTTTTTTCAGGAAAGAATATGTGAAACCAAAGCCTGGATCAATACCTGTCTTGCTTCTCGGGAATAAATATGATTTGGTAAGTGGTTTTATCCATTTTATTGAATGGATGCATAATGAGGAAAGTACATGAGTCATTGAAGTGCAAATAAAAATGATATAAATCCGGCAATGAATGTTTACTTGACATTTAACCGCAGAAAAAATCTTTACATAGCGTACTTCACTATTGTAAAATTTTTAGTGCTTATTTAGAGAATGTTTTCATTAGCAAGTACAAAAATGGTTATATTAGGGGGGAGCAATTACTTTTCTGAGCGGGCCAAAACTCTTTTATGTCGTGAATATCATCGATATTTTCAATGTAAATAAGATAGGATTTACATATGTATCCTGGAGGAGAGGAAAGCCGATAAGACGGCCTAGCCATATGGCGAACCACGGTCTCTCTTCCGGTTACCAGTCCAGGTCGGGTATGGGATTAGTTAGCCAGGTATTTGTTTTCGGAAGCGGTTATGTGAACCACCTTACGGCTGCGAGGTCCCACGAAGGGTAATCAGAGATGCGGTAGCGAGCGTATTCCTAACGATTAGCACGATGCCCCACACCGCCGAGCTGATTTATATCAATAAAATTAAAGTGGGCCGGATCCTTCCCGCCGATCATAATTTGCCCAACATGGGTTATATCATACAATTCATGTATGTAAAAAGATGTAGCCGAAATAGATGATTAGTTGCACTTCTTCGCATTCATGTGTTGACAGCAGTTTTGGTAATTCAAATATCATATTATATCCTTGTCTTACGCTTGCATTCGGAAATATGTGTGTGTTTTTCTTATTATGCTAATCTTCTATTTCAGGCAAAAACGAAGTTTATGAAAGAGCTGGAGGCTTCAGAATCTCAAGGAATATCAAAGATCAAGCCAGTTTCTGAAGATCAAGTCAAACCAGCAACTGAAGATACCAAAAGTGCTGAATCAGCAAAAACGAATGATGAGTTGTCAGAAAATGTTAATAACTCAGTAGAAAATAAAAATGACTCAGCAGAACCAAAAATATCGGTAGAAACAGCAAAAACTGATAAAAAGTCTGATGAGCCTCCGAAAGAGTCGTCAGACACTCCATCTAAAGATACAGGAGATAGCTCCCCCAAAGAAGAGACAACTCCAATAGTGGAAAATGGTCATGTTGGGAACGGTGGTGCAATAAAAGAGAAGGAAGGTACTGATTACAACATTTTTGGCACAGGGACTGCAGGAAGTCTTGCTTCTCGCGTTATTTACATACAATTCTCCGCTATAGTTTTTAAAGTCTCAGTTTTATAACTCTTGGCTCTTTAGTGGTCACGCACAGACATCGCTCAGAGATTACTTTTTTTTTATTTCTGAGTGAGTACGTAACCTTGCTTCATGCAAAGTTTCTTGAAAATTATTTTGATCAAATACGTATCTTAGAATATCTCCTTTCTACTTTTTGAACCCATTATTGGATAAAAAAGACTTGGTAATTTCCCATTCCCATGCCCGGCACTTGTACCCAGAGTGCAACAGATTGATTAGTCAAAGCCGAAAATGAAATCTTCTGGTCCTTACAAAAATAATAACTCTTTACATATCAGTGGGGGCTCATACCAGCCATGTTCAGAGGAGGAATTACCGGCATAAAAAGTATAAGTTCTATGCAGTATGCTGACTTACCAGAAATAAGCATTATCTTCCAGTATAATCACATTTTATAGCTTACCATAGTTGAAATACAAATACCACCACAATGATCATTTGAACTAGTTACACTTGAGGACTATTGTTTCATTCATTTTAAAAGGCAATTATGGTCTATTTTCTCCTTTATTACGTCATAATCAATTGTGCTTTATTAGTGATAATGGTAATGAAGTAGAATTTAAAAAGTTCCACTTTACAAAACGTACTTCGGTTATAAATTACTAATTTTACATTTCTTTAAGAAATAAAAACTTGGAAAAACTTTTTAGTTTTGATTATCCCTGAATGACCACAGATAATTCCTGTGTATTGAGACAAACATTGAACATATTCAAAATTCTTTTCAAAAAAGGATTGTACTTAATATTGGTATACATATTAGATCCTCTTTTCGATATAACCTCCATAGGGGTCAAGTATTCTTCCAATCTTTGTTTTGCCAGCATGATCTGCAATTCTTTATTTAAATTTGAATTCCATTAGATTTATGCAAACACTGATTTAGACAATGTTCACTCATTCCAAGACTTTTATGACCCAGTGGTAGATACCACAGTTGATGTTTGTTTGTTTTGTGATCATAATAATAAATAGAATTTTACGGATATATCTTTTACGGTCTCATTGAATTATCGTATATCCCCGCATACGGCCGATCTCGCATATAAGCCGTCCAGACAGAATCGATTAATATGTACACATCTCATAAATCATAACACGATCTCACCCATCACAGCAAATGGTTGCAGAAGAGAATGAAAATGATAACCATTCTTGTTATTAACAGTTGGGTTTGGGTGAAACTAACAACCTCTCCTTGCTCTATCACCTTTGCGCAGGTGGATGCGTATGAGTATAACGCAAGGATGCTATAGCTAGAGTGAAAATGACTATTTTATTTAATTCAAGAGTCTTACTGCACATTTACACAAATATAGAGGAATATATATATATAAATAATAGGTGCTCCCGAAGTATGCGAACCAAGATGGCGGACATCGAAACGTAACATGGGTAACAGGTTAGGGTTAGGCGATAATATTTTTCCAATTTTCCTAATTTTAGTCCTATTATCAGTTCGAAGACTAGCCAAGAGCCTCCCGTAGTATTTATACCTAAAATTATGGCCTAACCCTAACCTAGTACACATATTACATTCCGATGTCCGCCATCTTGGTTCGCATACTTCGGTAGCCCCAAATAATATATATTTCAATATACAGAAATATATTTGTGTAAGTGTGCAGCAGCAGGGGCGAAGCCAGAAATTTTCAAAGGGGGGGGGGGGGGTTCTGAAATTTTTTTTTGTCAAGTTAGATCGAAACTGCTAGCGGGCCCGATCGAACGCTGGAATACTCGTGTTTTTATTCGTCTTTGTGGTCTAAAAGCATTTCAAGCTGCGGATATTTGCTAATAATGATACAGAAAAATGATTTTATTTTTTTTACTTATCATAAGGGGGGGGGGGGGGGGGGGGTTCGACCCGCAAAACCACCCCACCTGTCTACGCCACTGTGCAGCAGCGTTATTGTTATGTTTTACTTTTATTAATAAGAGTAAGAATTGTATAAAATTCCTTCAAATCCATGTCAAACCCTTCAGTGTAATCAGAGTTGTGCATGTATAAGTCAAATTTTTGGTGCGATCAGATGTCGGCGTGTATAAGACTTTTTTTTAGTTCAGCAACTTTTTTTTTGAGTTTCAAACTCTGATTATATATATTCAATTCATTCATTGCAGATCCCAGAGAGACAACATACAAGAAGATTCATCCTAAAGATGAGAGAAATGGTGTCATAACTAGCGTGAAAAAAGTTCAAGAAGTAAATGAAAAGGTTGGTTTTAGATCACTGATATTATTAATAGTAAATTTTGAGAACTCTGCTAAGGTGTGTACCAAGTTAGGGTTAGGCCATAATTTTATTCTGATTTTCCTTATTTAATTCTATTACGAGTTCGGGGACTGTCTGTGTTAGCCAAGTGAATATACCCCCTGCCTATAAACTGTATTTTCAATTAATTGATAAATTTAGAAAAACTAGGGTTACAAAGATGGGCGTGTATTGAAACGCGGGTCTTTTCTTCTTGTTTACCTTTATACTTTGTATCTGTTTGTGGCCATTGCCTTATGTTTATATGCGGCTGTTTGCAGCCTGATTTTAAGTAATACAATATTTTGTTTCGTCTCAAGCAGTTAGACCAGGGGTGGGCAAGGATTTTGAACCAAGGGCCAAAAATTTTGCCCATCTAGACTAGCGGGCCATGTGAGTGTGACGTAAAAAGTTACGTTCTATAAACAATATTTACAGTGTTGCAAAAGCAGAATTGGAAAACAGTAGGCCTCGTCCCAAAACTAAATTTAATCCCAATCTCAACAAATTCCTTGAGTTATTTTAGCTGAACGCCAAAAATTGATTGTTTTAGAATCCTTCTCCTGCGGATGACGCAAAGTCTGTAGTTACATCACTTGTCTCTCTACTACCACCTTGTGTGGAAGACATTGAACATGTTGCAGAGAAATATGGATTCCTTGCTGGGTGAGATGATATTTAAAATCTAATATACATTTACTCTTTTATATCATTTTATTTTTCACGGTCAGATGAGTGAACTGTTGCCTTCTTGAGTAATGGACGTTTCCCCGACCCTTGACCCCTGAAATAATCTCTTTATACTTATCATTGCAAAATTTTCCTCACTGATTTTGAGAGTGTTTTGAGGAGTTGACGATTACAAACTGGCTCACATGTTGAAATCTATCATATCTATTCAAACAATAAACCACGTACCGCTTATAGATACTGATAGCTAATTTTATGCTCGTCTACTTGTGATTTTTGTAAGTAAACTAAAGTTCCCCGAAAGACATAATGAAAACTAAGTTATTTGATTTTTTGGAACTATTGTTTGGAAACTGAACTAAAAACTGACAAATAATACATAAAACTACCAAAAGAAGCGATGTTTACATCCACGCTTGAATATCTGTCTGAGCGAAAGAAGTGTCTAAGTGGCGGCATAAATTCCAATTATTACATCATTGTTAACCTATTGCTGATTTGTAATTGTTACGGAAATAAACAAGGAAATCTATGCTCGGGGGAAACATCCATATTGTTCAGTAATTTTATTTCTACCCTCCGACAAAAATCAAAACAACGCAAGAAAACCAGCTTACACTAGGATAGTTGAAAACGTACAAATACATGTCCACTTAATTTAACATTTGTCTCAATTCCAGAGTCCCAGTATCAGCTAAAACAGTCAACGGTGGAGTGCAAGAAGCAATGCAGTCTGTTCTAAGGCGACTAGTTGCGAAGAAACTATTCAATTTAGATGCAAAAGAAGCAATTTTAGAGCGAAAGAAGCAAAACTTTGATGTGGCTTCCGCTAAATCCGTCAAATCTTATTTGAGTAAAAATTCCAGCAGATTAAGAAAGAAAATATCTGGGAATTTCGAATCATTACAGGTATTGTAACTGTCATGTTTGTCTACAGCAGGGGGTTCTCGAATCTTGGCATACTGGACAATTACGACCCATGCAACAATTCAATATTACTCGCCGAACTTGAGTGATATAGTATGTTTCTACATTTTTTGTGTTTTAGAAACTGCCAATTGTTACATTATCACAACTGAAATAGGATGCGTACACAGTTTGTATCATTTTGCCATGTTTTATGAAAGATTTGCAAAGATAGACTCCTCCAATCTAATAAATCAAATGAGAATGGCCACGCAGTAGCAAAAACATTTAATGCTACTACAATGGAAGTTTACCTAATTACTTATCGATCTTAAGATCGGTAAGTATGTTGATAGGTATTTGTCTGTCTGTGTGTTAGATGCACGCGATATCTCACGAAAGTGAAATTGGATCTGCTCCAAATTTTGCATGTGCATTCATCATATCTCGGACCAGAAGCCTATTAATTTTGGATGAATTATGTCGTATAATCAGCGAGGTATTAATTAATTAGTGATAGGTCATGCGGTGTCGCTATAGAGTCATGAATCGAAACCGCAGTTTCGGTCGATAAGTCTTCAGTCTTGACCGATATTCTTGTTTATCACTAACTCTAGCAGTTTTTATTAGGTTTGTGGCCCATCTTATAATGTTTCTGTGGCCCAGAAGAGGGCCATGGCCCACTGATTGATAACCAGCTAACCTGCTAAGTAATCCTATACCCGGCATGGACTGGTGACTAGACGAGAGAGAGGCTGTGGTTCTTAATATGATTAAGTCATCTTATCACCTTTTCTCTCTCCCGGGATAAATATGTGAATCCTATCCTAATCCTATCATATCTTCTTCATTCTTCAGGAGGTCGGTATAATTGAAATTGATGAAGTTATACGAAGATGCAATCCTACATTACATGAGGCGGAAGATCTGACTGCAGGATACGCAGAAGCAATGCATGGATTTAAACTGGTATGTCAGTCTTTTTTTACAACGCTCGTTCATACCTTTTGCTCTGAACAGGATATTTACTAATATGTACGGGACTACTATCGATGTTTCTCTGACAATGACCAATCAGCATGACATCAATGATGATGTAGCAATTGTAATCTTTGTAGGCGTTCACACACTTAGTTCACTCAGACAGGTATTCAAGCACGGTTGTAAACATTGCCTCGTATTTGAGATTTTGCGTGTTATTTGTCAGTTTTCGAAAATGAAATATTTTAATTGCTATTATGTCTTCTGATGAACTTTAGTTTATTTGTAATAATCAAAAATCAGTTTCATAAAAGCTGCAATAAATTACACTAAAATTGGCCATTAGGAAGTAAGTGGAACATTAAGCTGTCTTACCGGTTTTTCTCTCCCCCAGGATAAATATGTAAATCCTATCCTATCTGTCCTATCCTACATACTAGCTTGCAAGATTTAGCCTGATCGAAAAATGCCAAGCAAAAAAGACCATATTTCATAATCACATCATGTTGAATGATAGGGATCCTGTGAGAACAGTTATGAGCGAAAAGATCGCCAGATCGCTCCTCGCAGACGCTGGTCAGTTATGGCTCTCATCTAGCTATTTTTATTCAATAATTTTACGCAAAAACACTCCCAAAATAAATGTCAAAAGTATAAAAATAAAATAGTAAATTTTATCTTAACATTTATGAAATGTTCAGAGTGACACCAGTCATTCAAACTGATTGACCCGAATTTTACCAGGCAAACCACACTATGATTTGCCTATAAATTATTTATCAACTTAAATTTGAATTCAACCAGGCTTGTTTCAAGAACGGCTTCACATCTGGTACCAGAGTGAGTTTAGAAGTTTGTATCTCAGCACTTAAGGAAGCTGTTGCTTCAAACTTTGACCCTGTGAACTCTGACCCCAGAGAAAACATCAAATTGATGATGATGACTCCTGAGAAGCAAGCAGAGAGAGAACAAAAAGGTTTGTATGTGGTTGGCATAAACTTGAAATAGAAATTGAGGTTTTTCATATAAACAGCCACTTATACTGGTACTCCCATTGTGTGTGTACTAGGTTATAATTTTGTTCCGATTTTCCTTATTTTAGTTATGTTCCGAGTTCGGAGACTGTCTCTGTTAGCCAAGTGAATAAACCTTTTCTTTACACAACTTGATGTAAAGTAGGCGAACAAAATTAGTTAGCTCAATATTGGTACACACACTTCTAGAACGCCCTCATTTTTATTCACGGCACTAATGGGTACACGCTTTTTGCTAAAAACCAGGCTCTGTAATAGCATATACTGTTATATAAGGAGCTGCTAAATTTAAAAGGACCTGGATCATTTGGTTTGACATTACCTATCCAATTTATCACACTCTGTGTGAGGTAGAGGGATAAATACTGTATGTAAATTCTATCTTATCTGTTCATCAAAAACAACCAAGTGACAAGCTTGACAAGACAAAAGGCGTTTGTTGCCATATGATTAAGCCTTACTATCAGCTTTCTTCTGGACCTGGTAAATACCATGTTTCCCCGAAAATAAGACATGGTCTCCCATTTCATTTATCCCAAACAAAATTACAGTAGTAGAGAATTCGAGATTTTCAAATATACAAAATATGAAACCGGAATCCATTCACTTATAAATAACACGATTTTATTTTAAAAAGAGACTAGGTCTTATTTAAAGGGGATGGTTTATATCAAAATCATTTTTAAAATTCACGCTAGGTCTTATTTTCGGGGAAACACGGTATGAAGCATTCTATTAAGTATCTGAGGTTCCCATGTTAAATCACGACTACTCTTCTGACCATTGACTGTTCAGTGAATACTCATACAACTAATTCATTTTGCTCTTTTGAGGCTTTGAGCCTCAAATTCATACTTTATTAAATTGTCCATTACTTCTGACTTAGAGAGGTTACTGGACGAGAGGCTGTGTCCTGCCATTCCTCCTTTCCTCTCGCCAGGTAAATATACAGGGTGTCCACTGTCCATACATATCGTTCCTTTACAATTTCAATTTTGTTATGAAGTCAGTTTCCAATATATCTTAACCAGGTGAACATTTGTTGTTTATTGATCAGTAATTGTTCAAGTATTTTTACTTCATTCAATACATCTGTGAGGGCCAAAACAATATATGGTATCAATCAATTCTCTTTAATAATTTAAAAAAATTATGGACACCTTATATAAATCATTACCTTCTAACCCAGACTGATTATAATATTTTTCAGCTTTAACTTTAATATCCGAAGACGCTGACGGCTTCCCTGACTTGAGGATTGTCAACACAGAACAGAAAGACGTGGAAAAACTAAATGAAAGGATTGAAATGAAAGAAACAGATGAAAATAAGGACGATATTATCAGGGTTCAACCAAAAATTATGAATGTATTAACAGAATACAGAGAAAATGTAAGTTTGGTGAATACATTTCGAAATAATACATTTTCTTACTTTATACCCTGCAGAGTAATAATTTTGTGCCTGAATACTTACCTATATAATTGCAGCCTCTTGCGTTAAAACGGGATGATCGCTAGAAAAACATGAAAATCTGTCAAACAGCTACGGTGTTTTTTTTACTTTTACAAAGTTTTCAATGGCATATGTTATATAGAAATGTCCCATATTTGGAAATTGAATAAAACCTAAAAGGTATCAAACTAAAACAACCTAGAATCTGTAAGACATAAAAACCGTATTGAAAAAGATATGAATTTTTCGCTTTTCTAGGGATTACTTTATTGCTGTGCTATATTCCACTGGTTGCAACTACAAAAACAGATCGTTCAGCTGTCGGTTCTTGATGATACCCGAACATGTGCTGCGCTGGTGTTAGTGCTATAAAATACGCTTAATAAATAAATTCTGAACGGATAATATTCGACAACTGAGATAGTACTGTCAAGGATTTGGCAGGACACAACCCCAGCAGAGAACTGGGGTTGACCGATTAAGAAATGGGGTTTTTAATGAGTGCTCCCGAAGTGTGTGCACCAAGATGGCACACATCCTGAACATAGTATGTTTGTCAGGTTAGGGTTAGCAGGCTGTGGGCCATCTTGGTTCACATATTTCTGGAGCGCCTTTTAATGCACATTAGGAATATTGTTACTGGACTGACATTTGTCTTTTTCTTTAGTTTCTTCATAAATCTTCATCAATTTCTAAATATGGATCTGAGGTTGAAACAATTTTGGGAAAGAGGACAATGGAACTCACAGCTAAAGAAGAAAAAGTAAGTGAAGTTATGGTTTTCTTATTGGTATTGGAAATGCTCATTTTATAATCTTGGTAAAACATATATTATATGGAAATCTCATACTAATATCCAAGCATCCTTTTGGTCCAGGAATATAAGAAAGAACAGGCAATGCACAAATTACACAGCCCAGAAACACAACTAACATAATAGGAAAAATTTATATTTCCCTACCTCCTGAAAACCCTAGTTAGTCTATCCTATAGTTCAAGCTAGGCTGCTTTAATTTTTGTTTCAACTAGATGTCAATTTTGTTTGACGATTGATCAGCTTTCTTATCTCACCTTGGATAAATATGACGATTGGCTCGGTGCTGCAGCGCATTGTTCTAGTTGTTGGGAATACGCTTTCAACCCCACCTCTGATTACCCAGATGTGCGAGAGAATTGCTGGACGCCTCGCTGCCGTAGGGTGGTCCACATAACCGCTGGTCAGTTACGTCCCCCCTCCACCATCAAGTCCATGCTTCCGCAAACAAATAACTGGCCAAGGAACTGCACACCCGACATGAACCTTTCTTTTAATATTTATATATTTATATAGTTACGGTTCACTTTACTCTCTTGCACCTCCTGTTCTGCTGATCAAGTAGTCAAAATTGTACAGAATATTTTTAACAATTTTATCTACTCAGGCGTGGGAAACTGCTGTGGCAGCCGGTCTCTCTCATAACGAAGTTCGTTGTATTTTATCAACAATCGCTCAGGACAAAGCCAGACTTAGAGGAACTGCAGAACTAGTACAAGAAGCTAGAAAATCTGTGCAGAAATCCGCAGGAAAAATTAAAGCTACTTTGCTGTTTTGAAACTGAAGTTTGGTTTAAATTTTTGGAAAGCTCACCAGTTTGAGTTAATTTTGGCGAAGTTTTTGAAAAAATTGCTGATCTGAGGCTAAGTTTTGCAATACTTTGGTTAAACCGGCTGTTTTGAGACTAATTTTGTCCAATTTAAATAGAGCTTACTGTTTTGAGCCTTAATTTTACAAAATTCCACAACAATTTGCTATTTCGAATCTAACTTTGAAATTTTTGAAATCTATCTAGAGAAAGTCACCCACTGCTTCAATTTATTGCTTATTGCTTTTATTCACATCAAGGTTTCATTTTCATTTATTAGTTTTTTTTTTAACTTTTCTTAGCTTTGCAGTAGTTTTAAATGCTTTACATGACATTATTATATTTTCATTTAGTTCACAGTATTAATGCAGTTCTATTTTGTCAAATATTTGATGTTTTCAGTACTACTCAGAAGAAGGCCCTGAGCAAGTAGTCCATTTGAGATTACTACGTCTATATGTGAGCAGTGCAAAAGGGACAAGGGACATCTTACTATAGACCAGGGCTACTGAACTGGCGGACCGCGTTCCGAATCCGGCTCTTTCAGGTGTTTGATTCGGACCGCGTCTAATTATTTATTTTGGACATTATCCCCACTTTAGAATTTTCCGTTTATAAAATCACTTTCATAGATTCAAATATAATGAAAAAAACTATAATGCCATAATAAACAATCTTGATTAGCTGATAATCATTAGTCGGCCAAGGAAGTGCGTGTTTGAGGATGCCGAATTATAATTTCTAGAAAGACCGGACCCAAATATTTTTGAAGTTTTGTATGCGGATCGTTCGTAAAAAGATATGGCCATTCTGCAGATACGAATCTTCGGTAAAAATAGTTGAGTAGCCCTGCAATAGATCACTGGTTCTCAAACTTTTTAAGCCACGCCCCACCTCAAAAATAATTAGCTAACAATAACCTACAAATAAGTAAATAGTAAGGTAAAAGTATAAATACGTGGATGGAAAGTAAGTAATGAAATAAATGTAAATATACAAAATAGGTGAAGCAAGATGGCATCCAACAATTATTTTTAATTAGCTTAAATCCTCCGCAAAAACCATTAAATGACTTTAAATTGATTTTAAACCTGTTATAAGAATTGTTTTTCACATGATGTTTCTTGCTAAATTTTTCTGATTGTATTTTTTGAGCAATTGAAAAGCTACTTATTGCGTTAAGAATATCCAAATGTTTTCACAATTCCAAAATTTGATGACCAAAGTTGGAATCCAAATTAGATGTAGATGTAATATGGGATGATATTTACTATAAATACTAATTTTATTTTTAAGTTTTTCTTAAAAAAAAAAGAAGTTTATTTATTTTATATTTTTTATATATATTTTTTTATAATCGGACGCCCCCATTTACCCCTTTCAAACAGCCTCTTGAATTTCAATCTGTTCTCGACATCAGCCTATTTAAGTTACCGGTAAATGTAAACAACTCCATCGAAAATCGTTAGAGATGGGTTAGGATCCTAATAGTTATTTGAATAAACTCCTGTTTATGAGTGGCTATTGGGCCTCCCTAAACAGCAAGTTAGAATTAGGGTAATAATCTCCATTCGATGGCCTCTTTGTAGAGCGCTATTGTGCTGCCCTTTGACAGAATTTCGATTTGTAAGGGCACCTACACAGGATGTTGATACATTTTTGCCTTATGAAGTCTCAGAGTTTGTTGCCCTTTCTGAATACATAAGTGGTTTCCGATGCTCTATATCCTTATGGGAAATATTACCCATCCTAATACTTTTTTGTCAGCAGTAAATTTTCTATTTTTCATTCTATCCATTGTATTACACTTGAGTTTTATTTTATATTTTGATTGCAAACGCAGATTTTGTATTTTTTTCAAATCTTAGCGAATAATGTGACTCCTCAATCAGGACAAAATCCTGTCATTCCGATTTTTTTCATCATATCATTTGCTTTGGTCAGTTCCTGGTTCAAAAGTCAAAGTTCACTAACAACTTTTGAATCCTTGACCTACATGCGCTTTTCATTCTGCAGCTTTAGCTAGTTTTTACAAAGCAATATCACCACTGTTATATATCAATTTTTATTCGAATCCAACAAAATGCACTTATTTTCACTTTAAATAGAAATCACTGTATCTGACTGTTTCATGTTGGAACAATGTTTGAGGTATCAGGTTCAGACTTACAAACTTCGCTACTCGGATCTTTTCGACCACTAGGGGGCATAGGCAGTTTGAGGCATTTCAGTCGCAGATATTTATTCACCATATACTAGTAACCCGCAGTACCAGTACAGCCCCAACGCTGTAACCCACATGTATTATCAATATATTATTTAAACAACTCCAAAGTAAACCCAATGTAACTCGAACTTTGTGGTGCGAAAACTCCGTGTGGCGAAAAAGGTGTATTTGTATTTGGCAGACAGGTAGTTATCACATCCCCTCTTTTCTGAGAATCATTCCGAACTGAAACTTAAAAAAGAGAAGGTTCGCTGTCATGATACGAACCAGTTTGAGCAAACCCTCTGAATAAATGCCACTGGTCTTGCCAACACTTGCCTTAATCACCCCTCTGCCGCGGCGACATTCAACATATTGCAAAACAATTGCTATCGCCGCACATGGTTAGTAAATTGCAGAAACAACCCACGGTGTGTAGTGTGGACTTCAACTATCGGATTTCATTTTTATCCTGAGGAGAGGAAAGCCGAGAAGACGACTCAATCGTATAGCCAACCACGGCCTCTCGTCCGGTTACTAGTCGATTTCCGGGTATGGAATTAGTTAGCAAGGTATTGGTTTCAGATGCATGGACTTGGATGTAAAAATATTAGGATTGCCGCCCGCTTGCGTATAGAATACGACTAAGTTGGTGATCAGTGTTACTTCGTTTTGATTATTTTTATTTGGAATGACGTCATCCAACCAAGATGTCATTCGTCAATGACGTCATCAAACACTTTCCACAGTAGTGTCGCTGCTGATGCTATCCATACTGACGACTGCTCTTAAATTCCGCCTTGGGTGTGACGGTTTCGATTGTATATCCAACATAGCGAGTCTACGTTTACGTTCCTCTCTCGTCTCCCTATCTGAGCAGCACAGAAACGCTGTCTTTGCCCGGTCAAGCCCGAGGGTCCAAAATTCTGCTAGACTAAATAGACATGCAATTCCACCTGAAATACATGGATGACAATTTTAAACGAACGCATTAAATATGAATAAAGTATGAATGATGTCGATTGACGGCACATTCGGTCAATGGCACCGCATGTTACTAAAATACTGACTGTAGGCGAAAATAACCTTGGAGATTAATACTGGTCTCCATGTTATGTTGTGCTCCACGGTTGGTGCCACACGCTAAATATATATATATATATATTTGAAATATCAATGCTGATTACTTCCCTTAGGTGATAATCAAGTGAGGGAAATTTTTGGGCTCGTCGCTTTTACAGGCTGGTACGCTAAGCTGGTAAATTTACTCTTTCCATATAGGATAACGGGAACGTAAATTGGTACATAATAAAACCAGATCCTAGATGAGGCCTTTCAGTGCCGAGGGGAACCAAAACTGGTTATCGGGCTGTCACACCAAATATAGCGTAATATATGGCAACCACCCAAGCGACTTATAATGTATGCCACTAGTTTCAACAAGAAAGGGAATCAAATTAACTGATTGTACGTCTCTCATCGCCAAATAGATAGGATTTAAGTATTTTCCCCCGGAGCGAGGGAATACAATAAGATGGCGTACCCGGCTATTCGTCCGGTTACCAGCCAATGTTCGGGTACGGGATTAGTGGCCAGTTATTGGTTTTCGGAAGCATGGACTTGGTGGCGGAAGAAGCCGTAACCGATCAGCGGTTACGTGAACCACCCCACAGCGACGAGAAGTCCAGCAATCCTCTCGCACATAATCATCCCCGCATGATTCGAACCTGCGAACCCACGCAGGGTAATCAGAGGAGCTGAGGTAAGCGTGTTACTAAAGCTAAGCACGATGAGCCACACCGCCGAGTCAGTTTTCCTTTAAAAATCACTCGTTAGGCTCGCAAAACTAAAGGCTACATAAAAAATCGGAGCTCAGGAAGTATGTTTACCAAAATGGCGCACAAACTGAACCTTAACCTGGTACACATACAATGTTCAGGTGGAGCGCCATCTTGGTGCACATACTTCGGGAGCGCCAAAAATCAATGTGTTGATCATACATACCTAAGCCATACATCAGCCATAACAAACAGGTTTTCTCTTGAGGTCTTGATACAAAACAATCCACTGTTTTTGGACAAGGCCAGAATGGACATTCGAATAATTCTGGAACTGATATTCCATAGAGGTAGTATTGACCGAGGATGAAACCGACCTGTGAGTGAAAAAAATACAAGTGAGATTGTTCAATTCGGGTCGAGAACCCCTGGAACGTTCGAGTAATCTTGAAAAGTGTTTTCCATAACATGATTCAATAGAAGTTACTGGTGAAAAAAGTATTGCCATTGAAAGTTGTCGGTCGGAAATATTCATTAATCTGGACAGATAAAAATGATTAGCAATTTTGAAACCCGTCCTAAACTGATATCCAATTGAGGAGCTGTCTCATCATCAGTAATCTTTCCGAGATAGTAAATTTAAATACTTTTAGTGAAATAGGTAGGCCATGCAAGAGTACCCTACCTTAGTTAGGCTTCATAAAATTAAAACATTGCGCCTATTTATGCGCCAATGGGGACACAGCGCATGCTAACAACGTGATTCATAGCGTAGATAAATAAATAGGTCATGCTGAAGTGACTTCATGGATATATTGAGCCTCATTGAGAAAATTATCGCGAGGTAAAATGAAGCGCGTCAAAAATAAGGCCACTTTACGATATGATGATAAATGTTAAATATGTGAGAATGTTAAAAAATCGGACTTCCGAGGTTATTCCAACCCAGACGTGAGCAAGGTTTTTTGACCAGGGGCCAAACATTTTGCCCGCCTATACTGGTGGGCCATTGAGTGTGTTTCATTTTAGGAACAATATTTACAGTGTTACAAAAGCAAAAGTGGAAAACAATAAGCCTCGTGTTAAAACTGAGTTTAATCGCAATCTCAACAAATTCCTTGAGCTATTGTTTTAGCTAATACACCAAAATTCGGTTTCCGTTTGGTTGTGGCAGCATCAGGCGGGCCAGATTGAATTACCCAACGGGCCAGATTTGGCCCGCGGGCCTAGTTTGCTCATGTCAGCTCTAACCTCAGACATGTAATTGCTTTGAAATTTTCAGTGGTTGAAGATCGTATTCTTCAAATGAAGTCTACTACTTTGATTTATTCCTAAATTTTCTAGTAATCCTATGAGATCTGATATTTCATCAAAAATTTTGCTACGATTTTATTTTTTATGGGAACACGGTTTTTAATTTACCAAGCGTGACCGTCGTTTCCGATTTGACGCGAAACTACACGAAACTTTGTTTTGGGACTTCGAGTCCATTTATTTGATCGCCGCTCTCTTATTACTTATCGATTTCAATCGGTAAGTATGTTGATAGGTATTTGTCTGTCTGTCTGTTAGATGCACGCGATATCTCACGAAAGCGAGGTTGAATCTGCTCCAAATTTTGCATGTGCATTCATCATATCGGACCAGAAGCCTATTGATTTTGGATAAATTATGTCGTATAATTAGCGAGTTATTAATTAATTAGTGATGGGACACGCGGTGTCACTATAGAATCATGGATCGAAACCGCAGTTTCGATCAATAAGTCTTCGGTCTCCGACCGATATTCTCGTTCTATACATTGTACACTCAGTAAGACGACATTTCCACCTACCTCGCAAAGTGTCCTTACAAACACATGCCACCAATAAGCTCTTGATAACTCCGTATGTTGCAACATTTCTGCTTTAAATTTACGTTCATCCATCGCCGCCTGCTCTTGTGTTGTTCTTCGAGTCTGTTTGATGAATTCAACTCGACGACCATGGGCGTCAACGTATATTGGATATCTGTTTTGCCTGAAATTACACATTGTTTAGCATTACCAAATACACGGATGGATACGGATTTTTTACGGCTTATATGTACCTCCTTCGCTCCGAACAAGGCTGTCACCCAGCAGCCACTGATGAGTAAGGAAAGAACTTCTGAACTGCACAGGCAGTTTGTAAGGACCGGAATCGAATCTTTTGTATAAAGCCCCCGCCAACACTCAAAATATGAGAATTAGTAATTATATGGTTTTGCCTAGAGTTTCCCTAGCAATATTTGCTAGGTAGTATTAGAATGTTCTCGTACACGGCCTTGCTTAGAGCGATATTGTAGCACAAAATATTTAAGCGATTTAAATGGAGATTCCACTCAATTTTCACTATTTTTAAAAGCAAAAATTGATGTTTTGATTTTGTTTATCGGCCCTAAAAGAAGAAAATAAATGAGAAATGAATATCAATAAATTGGTCCAGATCTAAGTTTAGTAGCGCCTCACATACCATTGGGTATCAGTGGCTCATAATTACGCGATTTAACTAAAAATTCGACTTAACTTTAATCAATTTTAAAAGCACCAATCGATGTCTGTTGTTTTGTTTTTCAGCCCCAAAGTAATGATATGAATAAGAATATGAAAAACTATGGATAAAAAACAGTTAATTTACCCAGCTAGGTAAACGTTTAATAATATTAAGAAGCACAATGTAACAATCGGAGTCATTATGACGTTATTTTCATCGATATTTTAAACGCGAATTTGTATCCATAAAAACTATAGTCGTAATTTCAGCAGATACAATGGGTCGGATAAAACATTTCAGTTGACCGGAGTCGTCCTGCGGGTCGTACTTTGTTCACCCAGTCTTATAAATATGCGATTTAACTGAAAATTCGACTTAACTTTAACCTATTTTAAAAGCACCAATCGATGTCTGGTGTTTTGTTTTTCAACCCCAAAATTTGGCGACAGATGAATAATAAATAGCCAGGTTAAGGCCTAAGTGGTTTCTAATGTAGAGTATCAACCTTATTGATTCCTACTTCGTCGCGGCTTAAAAACAAACACGGCAACATAAAATAGCTTTCTAAATGGTAAGTCGTAATCGATAATAACGGTAAACTTATAGAGTTCTAGGAGAATCTGCCATTACTGTCTTCAGAATGCCTAATTTTTTTTTTTCAGAGTGTGGTGGATTATGAATATATAAATTATAACAGACGACAAATGCCTCTGTGAATTTTAAATCATAACGTTAAACTTATAGGATTAAGAATATGCCATTGCTATTTTCAGATGTTTATCATAGAATTGAAAAAAAATTTTTTTTTTAGAATGTCGAGATATTAAACATATAAATTATATTATATATGCATACGGGAAATAGCTTTTTAAATCGTTAGTCAAAATCAATAATGACGGTATACTTCAAATGGGTTCAATAAGTGTTGCGTTTAACATAAGTTCATGTTATATAAGCGAGAAATGGTGAATCGGGCCTCCACGACGTAATTTTTTGTATAGGGTATAACAATGGGGTGTCCATGAGATCCTGAAATTTTTCAAAATTGCAAAGTGGATTTATCGATACCATATATTGTTTTGGCCCCATAAATGTATTAAATGAAGTAAAAATATCTAAACAATTACTGAATAGAAAACAACAAACTTGGTTAAAATATACTGGGAACTGACTTCCAAACGAAATTAAAATCATAAAGGGACTTTTTGGACACCCTGTATTATATATATGTGTAAATAGGCAATAGCTTTCTAAATCGTAAGTTATAATTAATAATGTCAGTATACTTTAAATGAGTTTCATTAGTGCTGCGTTTGACATAAGGTCTTGTTATACAGGGGAGAAATGGTAAACTGGGCCTTTTCCGACGTATTTTTTCCTGGAATTCTAAATAGTAAGCGATAATCAATAATGTCAGTATACTTTAAATGGGGTTGGTTCACTACTGATGAGGCCAGTTCTTGGTATATGAGGAAAAAAGGGAATCGATCCCTTTCGGAGTTTATTTGCTGCATAGTTTATGAATAAATTGCCTAGAATTATTGCACAATTTCGGGCCAGAAATATATTACGCGAATCTCTCGCTTATATTAAGTGAATCTCTTATCTCAATGGAACGATCTCTTTGTTTCTCATTCTCACTTTTTTACAAAGCAAGCTTCATCTAAGCCAGGGGTGTGCAACTTTTTTGACTAGATAGTAAAATTATTCAATCTGGAGTTCTATGCAGCCAGAACTAGCTTTTATGTATATTTTTCATACCATTGTTTTCAGAGCAAAGTTCTAAGCTTGGGATATGCAACATTTTGTTGTCGACGGGCCATATAACCAACGAATTACAGTAATAAAGGCAACCGGACAAAACGGCGAAAGATTAAACGCAGCGACATGATCAAAAAAGCTTATGTGTTTTTACCCACGTGAGCGCCTTTTTAAACATAAACTGTCGGATTTGGAATTAATGCTTGGTGGGAAAAATCTGAGTGTTGCACACCCATATTCTAAGCCTTACGCATTGATACATGGTCCGCCACCTAGACCTAGAGCGTTTACATATTTTTAAGACGTCATAATGGATTTAATGACGGAAATCTAGAGTTTGGCGCGAGGGTGTGGCTCATCGTGCTAAACGTTAGGAATACGCCCGCCACCGCACCTCTGATTACTCTGTGTGGGTTCAAATCCCATGCGGACATGGTAAGGTGCAAGAAGATTGCTGGACTCTTCGCCGCCGTAGGGTGGTTCACGTAACCGCTAGTCCGTTACGGCTTCCTCCGCCGTCAAGTCCATGCTTCCGAAAACAAATACCTGACTAATCCCATACCCGACGTGGAATGGTAACCGGACGAAACGCCGTAGTTCGCCATATGGTTGAGCCGTCTTATAGACTTTCCTCTCCCCCGGGAGAAATATGTAAATTCTATCCTATTCTATCCTGATTTCATATTATTATTCATTTCATCAAAATCCAGAGTAAACTGCAAATAAAAAAAATTCATTGAATAACATTTACCTGTAATTGACATTCATATCTTGTTCCATAAAAATCTCATTGTTATCGGACACAGAGCATTTTACCGGACTTATGACGTCAACATTGTTTTCAGTATATGCATTATGACGTCTTCGTTTCCTTAGAAATTTCCCAAGTTTTGAATTTTGAAATCGCCCGCCAGAATCAGGTATCTTTGTGACTTCATAAAGTGGGGCGTGAACATGGCCATTTGCAACGTTTAAGTCATTTTCTCGTCGTCGTTTGTAACTTGGTGGATGCAAATATGAATTTTCTGAGTTTGTATGAGGTTGCTGTGACGTCAGTGATGACGTCATATTGGTATGTGTCTTCTCTCCTGCTGGGTATTTTATACCAGCGTGATATATTTTGTGCATCGCGTAGAGAAAGAACAAAATTGCTGAAATGTAAACACGAATATGTTGAAATATGGGCCGGTATTTGAAATCACTATTTTTGCTACGACCTGAATATTGGTGTTTAGTTTTACCGACTATACGGTACGATACACCTCAGTGGGGTGGCGAAAATCAAGTTCGGACACTAATATGTACTGAGCTTCCATATTTTGTAAGAGACCTGAACATTTTGCTTAGCCGTATAGACAACCCGTATATTACGCTCAAGTGCGGAATTGAGTCTAAAACTTTTAACTTGTGAATGTAAAATAGTTAAGGTCTAACGGTTCTATTATTTTAACAATAACAGAAATTGCTGCTTTGGGGTTAAGAAGATATAGCCAGCCAATATGGCAGTATTTAGTGATTAAAACTATCGTAAGGTGTTGTCACAAGTCCCGCTTATATTCATGTGTACACAACAGACGAAACAATTTCATCCACAAATTTTTTTTTCACGAACTTAAGTGATGTAAAATTCGCGAGTTCAAAGCTGTTTTCCTGATTGACGCGAACTGTTTCAAGTCTCTACTTTAGTTCTGTTACGAGTTCGGGGACTGACTATGTTAGCCAAGTGAATATACTCCCTGCCCATAGGTTTCAGTTGCACAGAACTTGATGTAAAGTAGGCGAACGTTAAGTAAGTAGGTAACGAAATTAGTTACCTCCATATTGGTACACCTACTTCTGGATCGCCTCTTAATGAGTGCAAGCAATCTTGCTTTAAGCGATTTTTTTTAAATAACGAATACTTACAGGGAGTGGAGACAACGAGAACCATTAACGACCAGTATCTGAGTTGCGATATCGGACTGAAACGATTGAAACATACATTCTCGCATCCCGGTGTCAAAGTGTTGCAAACGAAACTTGACTGAAAAAGAAACAGTATTTTTAGTAAACGATTTTAAAACATTGTGTTCCGTACCTAGCGAATGGTACCTTGTAAGCGCCTTCTGTCGGTGAGAAATTCATTCATTCAACCTTAGCCTTTTAAACGTGAATATGGATCAAAAATAATCTGATTGGAAAATGAGACAATTTCACTTTAAACGATTTTAAACTGGGTAATTCTGGAACACGGCTTTAAAATAAAATTTGAAAATGAAATGAAAAAAGAAGGTCAGCTTAAAATTGAATGTCGAAGCCCCTGTGGATTTCGCGGGCCACGCTTTAGCCTGACTAGCCTACGCCTAGCCTATCCCAACGGGTCGTATTTGGCCCACGGGTCGTATTTTGACCATGTGTGGTATATATGCATAAATTCATCTCTGAACTGACCTGCTCATCATGGTAGACATTATCACCGATCCTTGCCACAACAACAATCCTGAATATAAACATCGTTATAATCCAGAGTTTTCCAGGGAAGGTAGATTGCAGACGAACTTGCTCTAGGAGTCCGTGAAGAATATGCCAAGCCATGATATATTCATAGCAGGTTCACAGTGCGTGTGTGTTTATTAGTTTTAGAAATCTAAATTGAGAAATAGTAAATTCATTGTATTGTTATATTTAAAGGCTCTGGAATTGGGCCGGTTGATAAAAAGTTCGACTCAAGTTGGAAAAAATGGATCTTTTGTACAAAAAAACCCGCCAACGCTAAAAATAAGAAAATCGGGGCTCCCGAAGTATGAGAACCAAGATGGCGGACATCGGAATGTAATATGTGTACTAGGTTAGGGTTAGGCCATAATTTTAGGTATAAATACTACGGGAGGCTCTTGGCTAGTCTTCGAACTGATAATAGGACTAAAATAAGGAAAATTGGAAAAAAAATTATCGCCTAACCCTAACCTGTTACCCATGTTACGTTCCGATGTCCGCCATCTTGGTTCGCATACTTCGGGAGTACCAAAAAATCAGTAATTATCCAGATTAGGTTTAGGAATTCAGATTTTTGAATCATTCCTAGCCCGAACCCTAACTAAATAATTACTAATTCCCTAATTTAAAACGTTTTTTCTAAAATCTCACATTTTTGTATTAGTTGCGGGGATTCGTACAAAAAATCCGGAAAAATTACCCTCAGCTCTATCTAAAACCTGCCTAACTTACAACTCTGGAATCCATTTAACACGCCTGTTTGACTTTGGACCGCTTGACAAGTTTTAAATTTTTTTTTTTATATTTTTCACTTTATATTTTATATGTAAACCACCGCAAATGAATTTCACTACAAGTCCAAGTTTACAACAAATATCGTTTTATTCACTCTTACTTAAAAATGACCGATGAGAACCGGTGTAAACTGTTAGATAAGATTTCTCGATCTAGGTCCCCGGCTCGCCTTTGCAGAATAATTTTCTGTTCGAACTTTGCTGGATTCAAAGTGGTCGTTTCCATGAGGCCCATCCTAACGCGTAGACGACCGTGCATGGACCTTGCTGCATTAACCTACACAAGAACCCAAATTAAAACTCTTTATACTCTCATATGAGGAAGTCAACGCAAAAATCTACATAACAACTCTGGATTACTGTTACTGCTTGATTACGTACTCAAATTAAAACTTTTCATACGCTTATGTGAGAGAATCCATGCAAAAACGCTACTAACAATTCTGAAATCTTTGTAAAGCGCCTGCTTGACTACGTATTAAGAGTTTTCATTGTTTTTTTTCTCCTTTTTACTTTACATTTTATATGTAAACCATGGCAAATGAAATTCAGGAGAAGTTTACAATAGATATCATTTTGTTTACTCTCGCATTCAAAAATAACCCTCTACCCATCTTGACGTGTAAACGGCCATACTGCCTTAACCGGTACTCTCGTAGTATGTGTACCAGGTTAGGGTTAGGATATAATTTTGTTCCAATTTTCCTTATTTCAGTATTATTACTAATTCGGGGCCTGTCCGTGTTAGCCAAGTGAATATACCCCCTGTCCATGGGTTTCAGTCCCTTTACAAAAGTAGGGGAACAAAATTAGTTACCTACATATTGGTACACACACTTCTGGAGCGCACCTGCTCAAGAACTCAAATTAAAACTCTTCAAATACGAAAACACACCTAATCATGGTATCTTACCAATTACTGTCGAGTAGAACCACTTTCCTTGTTTACAAAATTCACTAAACCGATGAATATCTTTCTGGCAAGACCTGACAGCGTCTACGTGTTATGCATCAGAATATTTTATTTTATTTACTCAGTTTTGGTCGGTGTTAAGACAGTTTTGAATTAAATATTCAGGAGTATATACTGCTAGTCAAACAGCAAATTTAAGTGTAATTTCAAAAATGTCAGGTCAGCTCCGGAGCAAAAGTGTGTTTACAAATATCGAGGTAACTAATTTTGTTCGCCTACTTTACATCAAGTTGTGTAAAGGGAAACCTATGGGTAGGGGGTATATTCACTTGGCTAACACAGACAGTCCCCGAACCTGTAATTGAATAAATCGGAATAAATTATGCCCTAACTTAACCTGGTACACATAATACGGGAGTACCGCATGCGGCTCTTTGTTCTCGGAGCTCTGCCTCCCGTGAATCAAAGTGGCTACAGCAGTTTTTAGTTCGAAGTAATGGAAATTCAAAGAAAGTCGAGGGCATAAAGTCGATTATTACTCAATAATTACGCATCACAGCAAGTTTAAGTCGAGAGCGGTGAAACTAGATCGCATTAAGTTGATTCAAAACTTTTTTTCCATTTTCTGAGTTTTTTCATTTCGTCGTAAACTGAATTATTTCATCATTAGTAATTTATTTGTCTTCTTCTTAGTGAGTTTTAAAAACCGCTGACATTAGAGTAGATGTTGCAAGTAGGTTTGAGTTCGACGGAATAAATTCAAATTGACTCTTTCAATGCTAAAGGTTGCCGATCAGTGGTCTAAGAACCTGGTTGTAGAATTTTACTGACAAGGTACTCGATAGCTCGAAAAATTAAACTTGAAAATTGTATGCAGGGTTACTAACAAACAATATTTAACAGCGTGATTCTAACACATCAATTACACCGCTTGACCCCCCAAAAACAGAATTCCTAACTTCCCCAATTACTTCAACGAAAAGAAAGTAAATTTATTGAACATCTGAACTTCTGTTTGTATTATACCCAAAAGGTCGAGCAATCCAGTTCTGTCTATATCAGTAAGTTCCACGTTGCTGGGTTCTGTAATTTGGGATTCATTTGTATATGAAGCAAGCACCAATTCAATTAGGGTTTATAGGGAACCTAAAAGGCCTGTTTACCAGTCTAGATCAGGGGTGTGCAACATGCGGCCCGCGGGCCAAATGCAGCCCACAGGAGATAATTGTGAAGCCCGCGAAGAATTGTCAATTTTGAATGGTGTGCGGGCCGAAACGGAACGAGTTATCACGGTAGTTTAATGAGTGTCGTGTGCGTAATTCCAATCCCTTTGCGTTGCAAAAGCCTATATCTGATTCCAATTTATTATATATTCCTATGACCTAACAGCTACCTTTTGCGAAGCGAACAACACATATTACAAGAATATCGGTCAGAGACCGAAGACTTATCGATCGAAAGTTAGGGGATCCCCCAAAACAGCGCTCTTACTCCATAGTGACACCTTGTGTCCCATCACTAATTAACTAATAACTCGATAATTATACGACATAATTCATCCAAAATCAATAGGCTTCTGGTCCGATATGATGAATGCACATGCAAAATCTGGAGCAGATTCAATCTCGCTTTCGTGAGATAGCGCGTGCATCTAACAGACAAACAGACAGACAAACAGACAAATACCTATCCAAATACTTACCGATTAAAATCGATAAATAATAAAATCGATAAGTAATAGGATCAACGACTAGAATTGTTGTGCCTGCAACTACTAGAAAGGTACATCCTGCAGTTTCACAAAGTTGTTTTATCCTCCTGTATTAAAAGTCGCACACTCCTGGTCCAGATCATTCCAATCTGTTATATGATATAGTTTGCCTGACACAATTACCTTGCAATTTAAATTCGAACCGACGAATTTTTCAATAGTACGAAAGCCTATGCGTGTTTTCTAAACATTGAATTTGCATCTATTGTTGTCTCTTCATTTTAAAATGAGGGAATACAGTTTATTTTGTGAAAATTATTCGCAACTAAAAACATTAAATTCGAACTCAAACTGACGATTTTTTCAATAGTACGAAAGCCTATGCGTGTTTTCTAAACATTGAAATTGCATCTATTGTTATCTCAACATCTACTTAATATGGGGAATATAGTTCGTTCGGTGTAGACTATACACAAAAACATGTTTATAACTGCAATATATTAACCAAATAGAAAGTACAGAAGCGAGGACCCGTAAATACTGGGGTTTTTGATCGTAGTTAATCTTAATCTTGGTTTATGACTACGTTAGGCAAATGTCATATTTTTCTTAATAATTTAAGTTATTAGCTTGATTCAATAATAGAATAATTCTTTGTTTAAATATATATCTTCATGGGCCTTCAAAGATGGTTTTTAATTATTTGTGGCTATTTACACCAGATAAGGAAATTTACATTGCAAAATTTTGTGGAATTTAGTACCTAATAGCTAGCTGCCTTCCTGATCGTGTTTACATGAATTGCCTCAAGTCTCGCGTTATTCAGCTCATGTACTAATATAATTCTGTATAATTACAGCAGCTTTTGGCATCCCATACAGTGGCCCCGTACCTTAGCTCAGGGGTGTGGAACCTGCGGCCCGCGAGTCGAATGCGGCCTGCAAGAAATAAATGTCAGTCCGGCCCGTTGAGAAGTGCCAATTCTAAATGGTATGCGACCCGAGAAGCGAGTTTCGATTTACCGTAGTTCAACTTGGTGACAATTTCAATACCTGTGCGTTGCAAAGCTTATACCTGAGTCCAATTTATCATATCTGCTAAAGAGGCTACGTGTAACTACTAGAATACCTACGTTAAATAACAGTGCTGCCCGTGGTTTCACCCAGTTATTTGTATCTGGCCCTCTTGTGTTAAAGACTGCGCATTACTGCCTCAGCTCATAGATGAGTTTCTTTAGTGGCATGTGGCATGTGGCCTCACTTTGATCGATTTCTCTTGAAAAAAAATTCAAATTTGGAACTATAATTTTGAGTTTAACCAGAGAACACTTCTCAAAAGTAAAATTGTGCCCCAAAATATTATAAAAAAAAAAATTGTTAACACCGGTAATTTTTCTGCGTGGGATGTGATTTTCACAACCAATAATTTTTTTTGCGTGGGATGGAATTTTACTGACCAAGTCATGGTAACTTTCCTTTATTCGCGCTTGTGAACAAGCGACATAATACCAATAATTATGGAACGAATCGTTAAGGAGTCGTAGGCTAAACAAAACAACGACCCGTGTTTAGAATTCTAAGTCAAGGATGGCCCGCGCCTCGTCGGCACGCACTATCTTAGGCCATTCTTGACTTTGTGTGAGTATAGAAATACATTAGCGCTTGGGAAACAGTTTAGTTTAGACTGATAATATTCTTAAGAGGCGAAATCTATTGAAAACTAGTCAAG